TGGGCAAGGATACATAAACTCAGGCTGGCAATACTATGCTGCTTTAATCTATTCCTCATTAATTCCACCTGCTTTCCCTTACCCTAATCTTGGTAATCTACTCCCCATGTCCAGAAAGTCTTTAGAATGGTGTGAAATGTGACATAAGAGGGCAGTGTCAAGGATTAGAGAAACTATGGAAATGGGGCGGGGGGGGGTTCACATGTAAATGCCTTCCTGCTTGCACAAGGCACCTTAAAAACAAAGATGGACAGTGAGAGGGAAACTATGGAACATCAAAACGTGTGACTTTTCATCTACAAACTACTGCAAAGATCTATGATAAGGGAAAAATGTGTACACTTACATTTGGCAACAATGGTATCTATAAAGCCCATAGTAAACCGGAACAAAATGAAATTGTGCAAGTGCTCTACCTAGCAAAATGAAGAAATTGAAAATCGCATCAATATATGCAGTAGCTCTGAAAAGTACAGTCAACCATCATTTGTGGGAACAAGATCTCAATAAACATCTAAACTTACTGCATTGCACACATTTAACAGAAGGTGGACAATATATACCCAGGAGCCTTCTTTTTTTTAGGAACCCTGAAAACCTCAACTTTAACAGAAAGAGGCAATCTTTCATTATTCATAAACAGGATTATTTCCATTATGAAGACTAGCAAGGGAGCAAAGTACAAGGGTGTAGCTGTAGAAAAGAGAAGTCTCTATCATCATTTATGTTATGCCTGGAAATCCTATTCTTATCCTACCCCTTTACTTTTACTTGGTGGCAATCTATGTTAGCAGACACAGGACTGGTGCTCTCATATGCAGTTCTGCTTGCCAACATTCCACAAGAGTTACATTTTTTTAAATCACATAAGCATATATCAAGATGAATGCTGTGCTACCAAAGAGATAAAAAAGCGGCTGCAATTCTGATTACTTTTCTCTCCTCCTCTTTTTAACCTTGCTAACTGCTGCTGATACAAAAGGAACTAATGGTTAACAACAGCTATTCATCTCAGTAGTCTAGAAATAAGCTATTAAATCAAACATAGGGTACAGACAAAAAATGCCCAATAGCTTCCATTCATTTTACTATATCCCATAGCAATACATTTCAACAGTAGTAGTGCATAATAAACATAAAAATATAGGTTTTTTAAATCTGGCAACATTTCATTACATTGTCGTCTGATTAAACTATCCCTCTAGCACTTGTGCAGAAAGTCAAATATAAACCAAGTGGGCCATAGCTTCCTACTTTGTATAAAGTATTTATCAGATTGTTCAACCACTTTATGCTGACTTACCAGTTTACGGAAGGCTTTGTGAATTGTCTGCTTTTCCCTTTGATTCCCATTGTAAAAAGCAATTTCTTCACTATAAAAAAGAGTAATTTTAATGAAGAATCTTTCACAAAAATTACTAGAAATCAGGGAACAGCTACACGGGGATCATTATGGGGTGGAATGCTTAGTAAAACAGGCACTTGTAGGGGATAAGAATTTAGAATGATCTCCTAGGTGAGAACAAAAACAAGAAACACCTTGTATTTAGAAAACTAGAACAGTGAAGAGCTAGACGAACTAGAATCTCCTTTGCTATGATACTTTTTCAGATGCAGCAATTTTAAAATACAAGGCAGTAATCAAAAACTGTTTAAAAAGACAAGAAAGAAACAATGTGCACTTACAGATTCTATGCATTCAGACTGGGTACTATGGTTTTCAATTTTTATTGGTTCTCATACAAAGTTACAGGTGTTTTTAAAACAGATGAATACAGAAAGGATCTCTTTTCAATAGCAGTATTTGAGAGCTGGTCTGGTGCACTGCTAACCTGTATACAGGGGATCTAAGAGATCCAGTTTTATTCCCCACCAGTGAACCTTCCTGGGTGACTTTGGGCCAGTCATGGACTCTCAACTTAACCTGCCAAACAGTTAAATTTGGAATAGAGGAATACAATTGGAATAGAAACTATGTAAGCCACCTTCCGTTCCTTGCAAGAGAAACAATGGCATGTATAAATGCAATGCAATAATAATCTTATAAATATATGCTTTGTCTTCAAACAAACTCATACCTGTTTGTAATGAGTCGTGAATTGACAAATCTGTACTCTCCTTCATATTTTTGTTCTGTGATAGTCATTTTACCAATGGGTCTTCTTAAACGTGTGAGGAAAAAGCCTGAAAAAATCAAGTAGGCCATCATGGAAGCAGGACCCTGAAAATGTTTAGAGAACAGAAGAAGAATTCCAGAACAAATCTGTTAGCATCATTATTTTAAAAAAAATATTAACATATACTCACATGCAGAGATGATGTGCTTACTGTAAAGAAATACTGGTTTTTAGACATGGCCATCTGCCCCACAGCATTTGCATGTCAGCAGGAACTGAAATGTCTGCAAGGCACATGAAGCCCAGAGAAGCAGACCTGTCCTACTCTTTTCAACACTGAGTGCTCCTTGCATGCACAGAGCATTTTGCAGCTATGGGGTAACAGAATCTCTGTCTATGTGCCAAGACTACTGGGAAAATACATGTCAAAATGGCTTTCTGCTTGTGACATTTTGTATGGTTTCCCAGGTTAAATACTGCAGTCCATAGGAATCTTATGGAAACCCATTCAAAAGCATGAATAAAGATATGATTTTACCTGCGCTCCTATTGCACTTGTTAGCTTGAAGATATACAGAACAATATCCAAAAATGGCTGAAAGAAAATGTTTAAGATTAATAATGAATTCTGAAATGGGCACTAAAAACAAATGAAGTGCATGTTTTCTTCCAACTCAGGTGAAATGGCATAGCGCAAACACTGCAGTGTCAATTAATCAAAATGCATACAAAGCAGACATTCCAATTCTATTCAGAAAACTCATTTATGAGAGAAACCACAGTAGTGCAAAAACATATCAAGCAATCAAGTGTGCCTTTGTTATGTCCACTGCTTAATAACAGAGCAGAATCCTATCTTTCACTTGTCTTTCAGGTTCATGATGAAACGGCAGAGTCTGACCCTCAGCCGGGATGCGGCTTGGCAGGCTAAAGGCTACAGATTAATCATTAAGCTACAACTTGATGCTGTAGGATACTAACTGAATATATCAAATAAAAAAGCAGCAGAACTGAACTGACTTGTTACATGCAAAATGTGACCCTGCTGGGAGACATCAAAGGCAAGTTTATTTACAATGCATAATCCAACATGTTGGCAGAGATTATTTTTGGGATGGCTAAATCATCTCATAATGGACTCTCTGGTTACCTGGGTTTACTCACAAATAATTACAATAAATATTTAATTTTAATAATCCATTTTAAACATTTGCAACAGATCCAACAGTGACATTCTGTCCACTCAATTAGCACCAACACAGCTCCACCAAATCTTTGTTACACTCAACAAACATAACTTTTGTTGACTGTTCTCTTGTGCAAAGCACAGAACATAGTTTCCGTAACACAACACCATTTTATTATGCATTTAGAATTCTTTTACTCCATCCTCCCTCCAAAAGGAGCAGAGAGACGCTTATAATATTAATAATCATAATAGAAATGTTAAAATGTAACAATAGTAATCTATTCTAAAAACACCCAAACCAACAAGTCAGGAGCCAAATGCTTGGGTAAATAAAAGGGTATTTAACTTAACTTACTTTTTAACTTACATTAAAAGTAGATGCAATGGGAGCTTATTACGCCTTTCCTGGGACAGACAGCTACAAATGGGAGGCCATCACTGAGAAAGCTCTCTCATGAGTCTCCAACACGCATATATTGACCACGGACAGAAGAGCCCTACTTGGCTGACAAAGGGCTTTAATATTTTTAATATCCTTATATCCCAAAAATATTCAAACAAGGGTTAACAATGCAGATTAAGAAATTACCAAGCAGTGATGTTCTTTAAACTTACCTTGCTAAGGTTTGAATATAGGTCTACTACACTGTTACAAAATTTTTCCACATCTTGTGTTAGCAGCTGATCAGGATTACCTATTCTGTTGTCTAGATTCCCCATTTTGTAATATGTGTAAGCCCTAAAATGTCAGGAAATCAGCAATTTAGCATAATATAGCATTTTTACTGAAATTATAAAATTAAAAATGGCATTTAACAATCTTAGTACTTATGATCTATGGTTGGTTGCAATTATTTCAATATTATTTTAATTTAACATTATACACTGAAAAACAATGATCACTTACTGAAGATACTGGTCATAAAGGTACTTTGTGAGTCTCACACGGAAACACAACTTAAGTTCATTTAGCCCATACTTCAAGAAGTTATTCACCAGGGAAATCTAGAAACAACAGCAATATAATATGATATACAAGCCCCAAACAGCTAAATAAAAATATAAAACAACTTTCATCTGCAACACTTTAAGATTTAAGCAGCGTAAAAACCAGCACCTTAGGCTTGATCAGACAGCACAATGAAATCCGAATTTAGACCAACAGGCAGCTAAAGAAATCTTAGGTTTCTTCAGTTCCAATCCAATATGTGATGATTTAGGCATAAGAACAACAGACGTAGCGAGACTTACTTTTGAGTAAACCTTTACTGGCTGATTTAACTAATCAATCGATTAACTGTATCTGCATAAATAAATCTGCATGAAAAACTACTAATTCTAAAGCAACATCATGAACTTAGAAGACCTGTGAGCCAAAGTATATTAGTGCCACTCACAGAGCAGTGCCATCATGAACTGTGTGTTGTAAAATGTTACAGCATGAGACACTTGAAAAATAAGAGGGTTGCAAGGGTTACAGCATAGATAATCTAATGGAGCTTCACAAGATCTTAAGAAATAACTTGTACAAAGACTTCTGCAAAAGCCTGGATAAATAAAATTTCTTCTCAGGATGTAGGGCTTATTTTCTCACACTCTTATTAGGAAAGGAATAGGATATCTGTATGCAAAAGAGGTTTTTCACTACGGGAAGATCACCTCTAAATCTAAGTCATAATTTAAGCCATATTTTCTAAGTCATAATTTAAGTCATAATTTAAGCCAATGCCACAGCTCTTTTCAAATGGCATTCAGTACCTTCAGTTTTTAAAGATGGGTAAAGAACTGCAAATCGGGGGCACTGATTAGTGTTTTTAAATTGATTAATCTGATCAACTAAAAGTGGCTGTTCCAGTTCAAGCTAGCAGCCACAAGCTGAATAGCATAGTTGCTATGCGCAAAATGTGTATGCATTTCAGGATAAAGGATTATTGCATTCTTTAATTTTAGCACATATTAACACAGTAAACACGTTATTAGAACAAAGTATGTGTTCTTTAGCTCTTGTAAGTCACTTTACTCTAGAAGAGTAGACTTAAAAAACAGGAACTTTTTATAAAGATTTTTGATTACTCTGTGTGTGTGAGGGGGACTAAACAGGTATGTTGCCTTGGATCTACAAATGCTTCTTCTTACAGATCTGTAACACCCCTTTTCCATTCAATTCACTTTCACACAAAAGGTTTCATTAACGTCTAATATAGCTTTATGTTTGCTGCCAAGTAAATGCACACAGTAGTTTATCGTATTGTTCAATGGAAAATTTCATCATGCTGTCTTGACCTCCTTGAAGAAAAGGTGGGACACAGACATAACGAATAAAGATATAACCTAAAACTCTGGGTTTTAAGCATTTCATTCCCCCAGTGTCTTTTAGACTCTTAAATTAAAACATTGTAATACACAAGGGGAACATGAGAATGAAACACAGCAGAGAAGACAGCTTTGTTGTTAGAGGATACATGAGTACAAAGTGGCATAGGTCAAGGAAAGCTTGTATTACTTATCTCCTACACACTTTAGAATCAGTTATGACCCTAAAAGTATAGAATTTCTCAAGCCTTTTTCAAAAATTTCTTTCAGGTTCAGCTGGAAAGTTGGGATTGGACAGAGAGATGTCAACAACAAAAAGCACCACTTACAGCAGGCATGGCAGCGATGAAGTTGAACAAGTACCTCTTGAAATCTTTTCTACTGCGGCCAATGATAGCACTGCAAACCACCACATGCAAAATGTTAGCGGCAAAAGAAGCATGACCCATTTTGCTTCCCAACGGTGTGTGGAAAGCCATTTAAGGTGAACACAGGACAAGAAGTTTAACCCAGAAAGCAGCAGGATTCCATTTCCACCATATAGGCATTACAGATGTGTTCCCACATCTGTTGACAAAGTAACAGCTGGTTTAAGGAAACCCATCCTCCTCCCTGTTCCTCTTGTGGATAACATCTGAAGGACTACTGGCTTCCACATACACATTATTTTTCCAAGGGAGGAACTACATATTACAAACGATACAGATTTGCCACTAATGAAGCCAAATGTTAAATTCCACCCCTCCACAAGGGTTAAACTCATACTATATCCTGATGTCATCATGATCTTCAATGCCCTGTCCACATTCCCTATTATTAGTTTGTTGCAGACAAGGAAACTTTAAAATGCAGCACCATGTTCTTGGTAACAAATTAATATCAGACCAGTGAGCAGGAACATTTTGATAAGTAGGATCATTTTAAAGGCCATATCAAAATGTGAAGAGAAAACAAAAAAGGAAATGGAGAAAATGGATATCTATTTTAAAAGATGAAGAATTAGAAGAATGGAAGAATAATGACAATGGTTTAAAAACATAGTAGGAAGAGATGAATGTTGGTAATTCCTTGATCTAGAACAAAAACTGAAGGAGGAGGGTTTCTAAAAATGTTGTTCTCTCTTCAACCTAGGTATAGAGTTTCTTTGAAAGAGGTAGAAAGCAGCAGCAAAAATCACCAACACCATTCAGAACAACTTGTAAGAATATACATTCTGAAGCAATTAAGATGAAAATGAAAAAGCCACAGAAGCACTGTAGACCATACAATTTAGTTGACACTATTCAAACTAAATCTTTGAAAGCATAAACCACTGGATATAAAATGCAAATTGCTTCAGTTATGACCATAAATATAGCAGATGCATGCTAATATTTACAACATCTATTTACCAGTGGAATGGAAACTACAAATTTAATAAAGAATTTCTTGAATAGTGACAGATCCCTGCTTACGATTGCACTGCAAGAAAAAAAGTACATAATTTAACAATTTTGCAACTAACTTTGCAGTTACTATTATATAATTAACAGTACATACTCGTAAATATAGTATGATTATTACCGCAGAAGGGAGCAAGACAGACAACTGACTTTAAGAAAAGATCAGAATGTATAAAATAAAAAGAATAATTCCATGGTTTGTGTTCAGAATATGTACAATAATTATTTCGGGGAGAACACAGGAGTGTTTTATGAATGTCAAGCAGAAATACAAGTGAGAGAAGTTTTAAAATAACTTGTTCAAATTAGTATTTTTAAATGGTATTTTGAAATCTGGAATAAAAAACATAAAACCTTACGAATATACTTTAAAACAGACATACATAATGCTTCTGGATATCACTTCTGTTCACAAGATTGCATGGTATTTAAACAGTATATTACACAAAAATAAGATATTCTGTAGCACTTTTTTTCTGTGTGCACCACCTTATAACAGGGCAGCTACATTGGTTACACAGAGGACTGAATGGGAAACCATGGTTTTCTTTTCCAAGAATGAGTTGCAGCAAGCTCTAACCTTGCATACTTTTCATTTTATTTGGTTCAAGGAGATAAAAAGCTATCTTTTCATGGCACAAGTCCATACAACACTACAACCTACTCTGTGAATTGTGCAGGTAGGATTGTCTATGGAACAACTCATGGTGCACCCAATAGACATCCTTTCCCTGCTCCAATCATGAACCCCTTTGTAGTCACTGTGACTGCCCCCCTCCCTTTTTCCTCCTGAGATTGCTTTTCACATTCTCCAAAGTGACAACCACACCAAAATGCCCAAGAAGCACATTAGGGCACTCTTCACTGGCTCACCATCAATACTTTGTTTTGTTTCCATACCAGATATGTGCGCACAAAACTTTTAAGTAATTTTTTTCCAGTACTTTATATGACCAAGTATGCCTATATAAAACTGTAACTATTTGAAATGCCAAGCCTTACCTTGCTAATGTCTTTGGTAAATACCTGCTGCAAAGAAGGTGGCATTCATAGACACTGACAAAACCAGGCTTCAGTTAGGTTACAGCTGTTAGACAGTGAGTTGTCAATCACAAAGCCAAGCCGTAAGATTTTTACTTGTAAAAGTGAGTGGTGTGCAGATAATCCCACTTGCAGCGAGATCCTCTAAGTTTTAAATGTGGACTTGACAATTCTTCCGCAACCTTTTCACTAGTTTCTAGATGCTCAGCAAAGTGGAAGCATACAACTCACCCATTTACAAGAGCAGTTTCTTTGGCAACTGCCAAAGCCAAGAGTTTCTTCTAAAACGAGTTTTTGGCAGAGATAAATGGTGTGGGGGGGGGGGGGTTTGACAGGGACACATGGAGCCATGAAATCTCTATGTCCATATTAAAAAGTTACCTGTTTAGCCCTGTCAAAAATTCCTTTTAAAAGAAAGCCTCCATTCTCCACACAGTAAGCCATAGTTTCTTTACAAATGAACTGAGCCATTGTCTGTACACATCTAAGCCAAGTATCTGCCCTTTGTATATAAGCTCTGTTCTTTGGTATCACAATTAAGCGTCACTTACCTCTCAATAACTGTTCCATTCTGAATCATCCAAATATCACAGTACGTGCGAAGTATCAACATAATGGCAATAAGTACCAAATAACCTGTCTAGTACAAGTAAAGATGAGGAGAGAGCATTTAGAAACTGTATTTTCTTTAAAAGTTTTCCATAAAAAGTTTAGGCAACTTGCTTAACCACAACCCAGTTTTCAATCATTCACAATTAAATTAAGTCAGGAATATAGTATAGCAAAAACAACCAAGATGGTATGTTGCAAGCTCAAACCTTTCCTTTGCACATCTTGGGCAAAAAAACACTTAGTAGTATCCTCACTTCTCCCATACAGAATTAAAATAAATATGTAACACACACAAATGTAGTATATGTGTATGAAGGCAACACAAAAAAGAAAAATGCCACACGTCTTTGTAATATTCAGATTAGAATAATGTAATCTGTTCTACAGAAGGTTGCCCTTGAAATGCATGTGAAGCACTTAGTTTTCACCATGTAAATCATATAACTCCAATTATGTGGGAACAATTCAACATGAAGAATACAAGAAAAGCCATGCTGGATTAGACCAAAGGTCCATCCAGTCCAGCATTCTATTCACACAGAGAAAAACCAGCTGCCCACAGGATCCCTCAAGCAGGATGGGTAGAAAAGTTCATCCTGCCCAAGCTGCTCAGCAACAGGTGCATGCAGGCATGCCACCTCTGATAACAGAGCTAGCACTTAGCCAGTAATCCTAGTAGACATTGATAGCTTCTCCTCCATGAATTTGCCCAATCCCCTTTTAAAGGCATCCAAATTGGAAGCCATCACTAGTTCCTGTAGCAGTGAATTCCATCATTTAACTATGTACTGTGTGACAAAATACTTTGTTCTGTCCTAATCTACCCTTGTTCTAACATTATGGGAGAGGGAGAGAATGTCTCCATGCACTTTTCATGCATAATTTTAAGTACCCCTATCATGTTTCTTCTAACTTGCCTTTTTTCTAAGTTAAACAATCCGAGTTGGAGCAACCATTCCTCATAGGACAATTGCTCCAATCCCTTCATCATCATCATCATCATCATCATCATCATCATCATCATCATTATTATTATAACATTTCTATGCCGCCCCTTGCCGAAACCTCGGGGCGGCTTACAACATGATAAAATACATTGAAATACAATAGTACATAATAAATTACCATTAAATATAAAAATACAAAATTTAATTTGCCTCGTCTGCACTTTCACATGATTATAACAGCCTAAGTTCTGGTGATGACTTCTAAACTGACAGGCCAAAATAATTAAAAGGACCACCTACAAAATAAACCTAGCTTCACACTCAGATTTTCACCTGAGACCTTATTCTCTGCCCTACTGTCATTTAAGTTGAAGTGGGTGTTCACATGAGACAGAACCTTTGTAGAGATTAGCTAGTTTGTCCATGTAGTCTCATCACTCACTTGTTTCCAGCACACTGTGAGGATACTGCTGTTTTCGAGCAGCATGGCAAATTGCGCATGCCTTGAACTGTTGCCAATTTCTCAGTAACCCCATCCTGTTAGGGTTTTGTTTTAAGATTGTGATTTCAGTACTGTATCTACGACTGTGGCTTTGGTACTGAGATCACCTGTCTGACAGACAGACATTTAACACAGGATATAAATGTGTTAAAATAAAAAACAAACAACAAACAGGTTCTAGGTTCCTGGAAAAAATAGAAGCAGGCTCGTGAATGTCTACTCTCCATAAAATTTAACAACTGAAAAGGAGATTTTTCATCTGGAGAACACAGAAGACCAGGCTCCCAGGAGGTACAGAAATGAGCTAAATTATAATAATAAAAGAAAACAGTGTTCTAGATTTATTCAAGGGCATGCACATAAGTTAAATTGTATGATTCTCAAGATTTAATAGAGACCTATTTCCAGCAATGGAAACAGCAACAAGTGACTAGATTTTCAGAATTATGATGCCATTTTAGAAAGCCATAATTAGGTAGGTTAACAGTTCTTCATTTATAGCTTACCTCTTTACAAAATGTTCTAGGGACCATCACTTTCAAGATTTGACATATTCTTGCAAAGAAAACTTTGTCTACTACAGCTCGCTCTTTCTTAACTTCTTTCTGCATATGTAAAGAACAAAACAATTTTTACTATTTTGAATTTGATTCTATTTTGGTCAATTTATTATAAAATATTAGGTGCAATTTTACTAGTGTATACCAGCTACCTTCAATAAATTTGAACCATTCTGTGTAAATTACTGCTGAGGCTCTAAAGCTATCAAACAACACACAAACTGTTCATTTTTCAAAAGAGCTATGCTTGCCTTATTTTGTTTTATTCTATGGGTTCTATCCAAAGTTATACTAGCAGAAAAAGTACAAACCATGGTGTTTCACTAGCACTTGTGCAACTGCTAGCAAAATTATCAGAACTGATGCAAACAACACATACCCCAATGAACTCAATGATGCACAACACCACACACAAATGGTAACAGAATATTTTAACATATACACAAGGATTTAAATGAGGTTTCCATGGACAGGCTCCAACACTGTTCTGCTTTTTCAAATGATGTAGTACCAGCTTAAGCAACCTCTAAAGCCCTGCCAGTAGTGTTAGCTGGGTTTCCCTGGAAAATCTATAGCAACCGCTTATTGGGGGTTGTGCTAGAGGCAGAATCAAAAGGCTCTGCTTTTAAAAAGGCTATGTTTCAAGCAATAGGCTGTAGCTCTTCTAGTTGTCAGTGGATCCACTCACGAGTAAGCAAGCGGTCTATTACTTCAAGCCATTCTTGAAGGGAAACAGCAATTTTGTGCATGAAAAGGAGGAATAGCTGATCTTTTCTTCACCCAGCACTGAGCTCTGTGGGACAAAGGTATGTCCACTTATCTCAGAGGCAGAAATGAAGAACTAAATATAATGAGCCTGAACCATGGTGGTGATGGGTATATCATAGCATCATGGATCATAGACTAGTAGAGTTGGAGTAAGGCCATCAAGACTAACTCCCTGCTCAAAGCAGAGCTGCAAGTTAAAGCATTCCTGCTAGATGACTGTCCAACTGCCTCTTGAATGCCTCCTATGTTGGAATGCTCAAAACCCCCCAGGCAATGGGTTCCACTGCCATATTGCTCTAACAGGTGTGCATGCGTATTGCCCAACAGTACACCTGAAATAGTTTGTGCTGGATGGAAATAAATTTGAAACAATTAAGTACTAGTTAAATTTACCCAATAAAATGCAGAAAAGGGTGACTTTTTCAACACTTTTCCATAATTGTTCATCACATTCAATAAAAATCCACCCAGTAAAACATCAGTAGCAGTTTCTTACAATTCACATATACATCTATTTTTCTAGCTTTGGACAGTACGGTGCATAGAGTTTAGGTTTCAAAAAAAAATCTCTGTAGCTGATTTATTTTGGCCCCAAAGGAAAACTACCATAAAGCTCTTGCCTCTTGAAAATAGATCAGATACAGAGATATCACAAATTACATTACTTCCAAACCACAGCTAGGAGAACTATCACCCAGCAATTGTTGCTGTACAAAACACAGATCAACAATCAACACCAATACTTCCAGATATGTTTTAAAGAGTTGTGAAATGTACCATCCAAGTGCCAAACATTAGCCCCATTTAAAATCATTCTGTTCTCCATATAAAATAGTCCAATCTGCAAATCTGCTTCCAACTTCTATTGATCTTAGCTAAACTTTTTCAAACTTAGATGTATTTCTATTTACAAAAGCCACAGAAAACCCTGCTGGAATCAATTATATTTTAGAGTTACTCTAATTAGGCTGTCATGCTTACATCCTGCTGGGGAAAACTCCTGCGAGTCCCTTGGACTGCAAGGAGATCAAACCAGTCAGTCTTAGAGATCAACACTGATTGCTCTTTAGAAGGCCAGATTCTGAAGATGAAACTCAAATACTCTGGCCACCTAATGAGAAGGAAGAGCCTAATCCTGGGAACAACTGACGGCAAAAGAAGGGGACAGCAGAAGATGAGGTGGCTAGATGGAGTCACGTGAAGCAGTTGGTTTGAGCTTAAGTGGATTCCGGGGGATGGTGGCGGACAGGAAGGCCTGGAGAAATGCTGTCCATGTGGTCGTGATGGGTTGGACACGACTTCACAACTAGCAATAATGCTATATCCACTTACCAAAATCCAATGGAACTTACTTCTCAGTACTTATATACAGGATTTCTAGGTCAATCTACCTGTATCACCTAAAAGACATCGCATTTTCCAACTCTATAAAAATGTACCATTAACCCTTTTCCAAGTTCTTTATAGCAGCAGTGGGTGGAAAACATATATCTAGATGTTTTGAATTTCATCACCCAGAATTCTTGACCACTGGCCATGCTGACAAGGAGCTTCTTGCATTCCAACACATCTGGACGTTTACATTCTGCCTACCCTTAGTTTACAGCACTGAACATACTATTGCATTCCAAAATAATTATGTTGAACTGTTCAGTGAAATTCATGGATTTTAATAGTCATTCATAATTATTTAATATATAAATACAATAAGACTCACCTCATTGCTGGGTAATATTTTTCCACTTTTCTTTCTGCAATAAAAATGTATTTTAGTTTTATAGCTTTAACAAACTATAATCTAATATTTTGATCTTTGTTATGAGTTCTTGAAAAGTCACCAGATTAAAAAAAAATTCTTTTTCAGGCACAAGAGTAATACACAGCAGTTTTGGAAGTGAAAGGAATTTAAAACACTGCATACAACAGTCTATTTTCTCTACACCCCAACTTTCAAATGAAAGCAGTTAACATGTTAGCTTAACCTCATTTCAACAAGACTTTTTTCATTTACTAATTTCACTAACTTGGGATTTAGTCACTTTATTTTGACAAAGAGAAATTCAATTTAATTTACAAAAATCAAAACCTTTATCATTTTTTTATATTGAGTCTAACCCAGAACATTCTTCCTAAGTGTAAAAGTTCCTTTGGCAAATCAAGACGCAACCAGAAGACAATGTATGCTACATTTAGAAAATGGATGATGGACTTGTTATATATGCATATGAAAAATAACTGATTACATAAATATGCAATTGATAACTTATTTAACTGCCGCATAATGATGCTATTGTGTCTAAAAGTATAATCCTGCGGCCTTCCAATTTTGTCTGGGAGGCCCTAGGATTCTTTCAAGTGCCAGCTCTGAGATCCTACAATCACTGACCTGAAACTACAGAGGTAGAAACCCCACCCTGCCTACTTTCAACTAGCATGGAAAAACACACACTGGCTGGCTAACTTTCCAGTGCTGCAACTGGAAAGGGAAGCAGGGAACAGGATGCCAAGGAGGAAAGGAGACGGGGGTTGTGGACTTACACTGGTTCTAATCAGCACCCCAGCCTCCTTCCTCCCCTTCCCCAGCACTAAATCTAGAAAACTGAAAATGGCTTATGAGAATCCTCATGGGACAAAAGGATTGCACCCTCCACATATTGTACTGGACACAGTACTCCAGTGCTGACTAAAGAGAAACTAGTATTTAATGGAATTTGGAAGTGATACTTCTATTAATGATGCCTAAAATAGTGTTGGGAAAATTTGGGTAAATCCTGTCTGAAAAGCATTACTTTTGTGTGCTTTTGAATTGTGGGATCAAATCCTGTCTTCCTTCTCAAAACCAAGCTGTCACTATTTAAAAAATGGCATCCCCCCCCCCCCCCGCCTCCTTTCTCTCACCTTTAGCTGTAGGCTACAGCAGACAGGCCATTTTAGCCCAAATATCCATTGTAAATAGTCATTGTTGGAATTCAGTTTACAATAATCTTTTGATAGCCCAGAGGGCTCCATGTGCCCTGATCATACAGAATGTTTAGAGTCAAGATAAGGGTCTGAGCTTATCATGAATAGTTTCTAGTAGCTTGAATTTGCATGTCTGAGCAGACCTGGAGATGGGTTCAAGTTACTCAACTAAAGTGTCAATACAGACAATTATAAATATTGTAATCTCATTGTTACAGTGTGATTGACTGACATTTCTTTATCTGTTCTGTATGTGGTGACCTCAGAATCTTATTGTAATCTGCATTCTGTCATCAATTGCCCTGTACCTGTGTACCTATAAATGCCCTGTAATGGTATTGAAGCTTTGCAGCAGAGTTCATCTCTGCCTGCCCGGTAATGCAGCATGCATTATCGTGAGTGTACCATGGAAACCTTGGGGGTAAAACAATAAAGCCTCAGATGGTCTGGATGCTTGGTCTTTCCCACGAAAGAGTTTTATTCCCTCTTCTCAAATTGAGATTCCGGGATTCTGACAATAGCAAATGTTATTTGCCCTTTTTGCAGACACATTGCATTGTTAGATGCAGAGCAGAAGAGAACGTGAAACATATTTGGAGTAGTAAATGAGTTCCTTCACCATATTCATGGTGAGAGGTACATAGGCAAGAGTGCAAATTAACACTGATTTTGCCTGCAGGGTATCTAAGGTAGCTTCAGAGCTCTATCCCCTGGCCAAGCACCAGTTGCAGGATTACTTCCAACAACTATTGCAGCTGCCAGGGCCCTCATGAGCACCATTCGGGAGCCCTGAGGCAAATGGTGTAGAAGAACTGGCTCTTCCCTCCAGAAACTGCTTTAGTAACAAAGGCCTGACTTGCTGCAGTCCCTCTAGCTTCCTGGTGATCACTGACCGAGTTCCTGCATCTGCCCCCTTGATCCTGTTGCTGGCCCCTTCTCCTGGCCAGTTCCCAGGGTATCTTCTTACTCCTGCTCTGCCCTGACTACATTATTTTCTAGTGGACTGTACCTTGCCCTGTGCTTCTGTTTCGCTTGGCTCTGAACTCAGCCCGTTTGACTTGCTTAAGGATTGTTTGGACATTGAATTAGTTTCCTGGTGCCCCCGTCTATTATTCTGCTGCCCATGTACTGGATTCTGACACAGAGATTCTTCTCACAGACACCTTCTCCTAAACTGTTTATTATCCAAAAGCTTTGATATAAAAAGCAGCCTGTACTATAGAATACTCAAGGAGTTTGAATGCCTGGTTGAAGTTTTAAAATTAGTTACAATACACCATCCATGTCAGACAATTATTATTTTAAAAAGGGGACAAGTTACCTTCCTTTGATCTCTTACTACCTTCACATATAACATGCATAAAGGAGATTTACACACAAAAATGTGTGTTCCTTTGGCTGCATTCTGAATGTAGCCTGCCCAGAGTAGCCCTGCTTCTGAACTCCACATACTGACCTAGGATGTCTGAAGAGGCATCTGTATGCATGATATGTACTTAAGTCCATGTTCAACTCTTCTAAAGAAATCAATTGAGCTTCCATTTGACTGGATTGTCTCTAATGCATTTTTTTCAAACACCCATACAATTAAAAACTGAAAACAAAGTAAAATCAAGCTATTGTTATATTGTGATGAAAGAGAACTGGAGATTTATTCAGAACTTCTCACGATGCTGCTGTTAATTAGCTCATGTGATTTTTTAAAAAAATCTTGCCTGGGTGGAATTACATAAGGTCTATTAAAGTTGAAATCTGGCTGAGCAAACTTGGAAAGGAAGCAAAATTTTCCGATTGAGAGGATGTTTCTAAACTGTACCATTAAACATGTCGGTACAACCTGAAGAGCTAGGTGTGCAACTGGTTCACAACATTTTATGACAATGTCACTTCTACTGTGAATTACACTTATAAGCACAAGAAGATGCTCTAGTGCCGTATGTAGCACTTTGAAGGGCTCTTCCAATAAAGGGTGCTGAATAAGTCTCTAAAGAGTCAAAAGTCAAAATCCCACTGTGGTACATCATTCTTTGAAACTAGGTATGAATTTTATTTGCAAGCAGACACAAATATTTCCTAACCTAGCAATGCTGCATTTGTATACCTGTTAATTCATCCTTTCATATCAACTTTTCGCTAATAAATGTGTTTTGGGCTTGACCAGCAAATAAAATGAATTAAGAGAAAAACGTATTTTTGTTTAAACTGACCAGTACTTAATTTTTTAATTGAACATCATTTAGCAAGAGGTACACGAATATATAGTTGCATAATTGAAACTACAAACCAATATAGAATACACTGGATCTTTGTGTATTGTGGGGTGGCATACCAGAGCCCCAGTGCAGGTTCCATGAAGCCAGATGTCCAGCAGAGAGGTGATATCATGGCACTGGTGAGAGGCAAGATGCTTTCAGGTCTTTAACATGTCAGCTTCCCTCCAAAAAGGTTCCCCAAAAGATCCCACAAAGGAGAACAGGGAGGGTACAAGCAGATAGAAGAATCAAAAATATGAAGACTTTTGACTTTAGTCTCATCTCAACAAACTCTTTAGTGATGGAAGGCAATCAGACAGCAATCTCTACCCAGAAGCTAAATAGCAAAGTGATCCGTTCTTCCCACTGCCTCTTCTCAAGGTGGACTGATTTACAAAAGTGCATTTCCTCCCCTTCATTTTCCAAATTCTACCCCAATGACTGAGGTAGGTACAGCACAGCTAGGAAGATCCCAGAATCTTGCTTCATCTATAGCTGGGTTGCTATTGGTATGGGAAAGAATTGAAACATATAGAAAGTACATGAACATAAGTATTTCATTTCTGTTCCTTGACTGTTCATTATATAATTCTTGCTACTGATTCCTAAAATACAGACTTCCCATTTTACTGTATAAAGGAGCCAATGCTTATGTATAATTTGCACTGTTTCACCTCATGTCCTTTTCTACCCATGCAATCGACCCTGATTACAGGAATCAAAGTGCAAGGGTGATGTAATATGGAAATTACCTTTTATCTACAGGCAATGTTTCATGTCAGAAGGAAAATGGATAGACATATTGTACACAATAGTTCAGTTACCCGTTTCTCTGATAGTCTTGCTCAGAGACACTGTGCCCCTGTTGAGCATGTTTAATTACTCTTGTCAAGGATCCCATGATGCTTTGGCTTTCAAAGGACTTTTCATAAGTAGGTAGGAAAACTGTATGCTAAAATACACAAAACATATATGGTTGGCTGCTGCATGCTGGGAACTGCAGCTATTTTCTAGGTTTGAATGTGCATAGGATTTCACCATTACTAGTATTTTTATACAACTGATAGCCAAAGATCTTTGGATGATTCACAACAATTCATGAACATAGCAATTAATTATGAGTTTAGTGGATTCATTGGTGGATAGAATCTGAACAGATATGCATACAAGAAAGCATAATTCTAAATGCAAAAATTGTTTTTCCTTTTTCAATTAGACACAAGGAGGACTGTCATTTCTAAGAAGCTATTTACCATTTATGGTTTGTATTTAAAATGCTCAAGCTTTAGATATCTTTTATTTATATCCTTTACTCTAAAGGCATATTTTTAGTTGAGATGTTTTGAATCACTTCTTCTTACTGATTAATCAACTGAATTGCAACCTCAACTGTAAGTCTTAATTTATAGCTATTATTCTACTCTGTTTCAGTATTTTCACTATTTCATGACATGCCACAGCCTTCATACTTTTACACAATACTAGGTTGCAGAAGCACACAAAAGGCCTTTGTGTAAAGTTATGTTCTAAGTCCTCTG